AAATATAAATGTGTATTTTATCTAGTTGTTTTTGTTTGGTTTGTTTTACATGTTCTGCTAGTACTGGAAGTAACTCTAACTGGGAGAGTTCAAATTACTATTCAAGTCTTACAATGATTATGGTATTTTTCAGTTTTTTTTTTTTTTGAGTGTTTTGGTAAGAGGTGTCCATTGTCTGTTTTCAAATTTATTGATACAAAGTTGTTAATATGCTAAAAAAAAATCTCTGCTCTATTGTTATGTTCTTATTCATTCCTAAAAACTGAGCTCTTGCTCATTTGACTTTGTTGTTTCTATTTCATTAATTTCTACTGTTTTCGTCTGTCCTTTGAGTTTATCCTGTTTTTTTTTTTTTTAAAGATTTTATTTATTTCTTTGACAGACACAGCGAGAGAGGGAACACAAGCAGGGGGAGTGGGAGAGGGAAAAGCAGGCCTCCCGAGGAGCAGGGAGCCCGATGTGGGGCTCGACCCCAGGACCCTGGGATCATGACTTAAGCCGAAGGCAGACACCTAACGACTGAGCCACCCAGGCGCCCCATCCTGTTTTTCTAACTTAAGCTGTATGTTAGTAGCTTCTAATTGGGATATGACCTTTTATTTGACCTACTGATTTAGAAATTTAAACATTTTTTTCCTCTATTTGGAGACTTCTAGCATCCTTCTGTTAACTTCTGACAATTCCATTATAATCAAGAAAAATAATCTCCATGATATGGATTCTTCGAAATTTGATGTCTTCTCACAGCACAAGATCACTTTATTCATAAATTTCCCTTTTGCGTTTAAAATATACATTATTGGGGCGCCTGGGTGGATCAGTCATTAAGCGTCTGCTTTCAGCTCAGGTCATGATCCTGGGGTCCTGGGATCGAGCCCCGTGTGGCATCAGGCTCCCTGCTCAGCGGGGAGTGTTTTTCCCTCTGCCTCTCTCTCAAATAAATAAATAAATCTTTAATAAAAAATAACGATTTTTACTTATTTGAGAGAAAAGAGTACAAGCAGGGGGAGCGGCAGACACTTAACCAACTGAGCCACCCAGGCACCCCTTCAACCGATTTTAATTGCTTGATCTCCCAGGTATATTAAAACAACTATTGAGATGGTGACTTTGCCAATTTCTCCTTGTAGTTCCATAAATTTTGCTTTATAGTTTTGGAAGTTATCTTACTGAAGACACATAAACTTAAAGGATAAATCAAACCTTCTATCTTCATGTAATGATCTTCATTAAAACAAAATGTTACCATAGTTAGAGTCTACTTACACAGCTACAGAGCTTCCTTTGATCTTTCTTAGCCCTTTTTTATCTTTTGGCTCTGGGTATTTCAGTATCTTTGTTTTAGATGCATTTCTTTAAAAAGCATATTGCAGATTATTGAAAATCTAATGACCAAGATTTTTTGCAGAAGCGCTCAATCCATTTACAATTGGATTTCTCTCTACCAATTATTTGGCGCTTATTTGTCCTAACCACTTTTCCCATGTGTATTTATTTGTTTCTTGTTTTTCTCCTTTCCCTTTGCCTCCTCAACAGATACCGCTGGAGCATATACTGATTTGTTTCTTCCAGAGGCAGCTCTTCATCTTGTCAAGTTCATACCCAAGTCTAAAGTGGGTCCATATCTTTACTCTCCTTAACAATAACACCAGATATTTAGATTGATATAATTTCAATTGCCAACTTCACATGAATTAGGCTTACAAGCAACAAGATACCTAGACTTTTTACTTGATATCACTTTTTCCTCCGACAAATTTGATATTACTTACACTATCAATATTTCTTTAGATTTACTCAAGTGCTTACTATTTTTTTTTTTAAGATTTTATTTATTTATTTGACAGACACAGCGAGAGAGGGAACACAAGCAGGGGGAGTGGGAGAGGGAGAAGCAGGCTTCCCGCGGAGCAGGGAGCCCGATGCGGGGCTCGATCCCAGGACCCCGGGATCATGACCTGAGCCGAAGGCAGACGCCCAACGACTGCGCCACCCAGGCGCCCCTCAAGTGCTTACTATTTTCTTTACTCACTATTACTTCTTACGTCTCAGACCTTCTGTGATAATATTCCTCCTCCTTGAAGTTTATCTTTTTTTTTTTTTTTTTAAAGATTTTATTTATTTATTTGAGAGAGAGAGAATGAGAGATAGAGAGCACGAGAGGGAAGAGGGTCAGAGGGAGAAGCAGACTCCCCGCTGTGCAGGGAGCCCGATGTGGGACTCGATCCCGGGACTCCAGGATCATGACCTGAGCTGAAGGCAGTCGCTTAACCAACTGAGCCACCCAGGCGCCCTGAAGTTTATCTTTTAGAAGTTCCTTTACTGAAGCAATTTTGGTGGAAAATTCTGTTTTTGTTCATCTGAAAATGTTGGTCTTTGACCCTCATTCTTAATCCATAAAGCAGAGTGTCTGCATCAAAATTTCCTGGAATGGTATTAATACTACAGCATTTGATAGTTGAAGGCTGGAAACTGTATACAAAGGAAGCAATAAGGTAAGCACGATCTTAGTTTTGTATTGCATTTATCACATGAATGTCTGGAATACCTTTCATATGCAATTTTCTTTCACTAGATTCTCACAATGATTCCAAGAAGTTCACCCCCCTTTTTTACAGGTAAATGGAACACTCTTTAGATTTGTAACCCCTCACTCCACTATTCTGGTTCTAATCAGCACCCCTGTATCTGCTATCTGTATACCTTAGGATATGCCATTTCTCTTTCCCTGTAAGTCTCATTCTTTTTATAAGTATTAAATTTTCTGTAGTGTTCAAGAAATCCTATTGGTATAAGTTTTAGTTTAAAAGAATTTTTTATTAACCAGGATTCTTAATTCCTTCCAACATGTCAGATAACAAATCTTTTTAAGATAACGAAGTCTTCGGTCTGACACATTAATATATAATTGATAATTTAAGTTAATATAAAAGTTCATTATTTTTAATCATGTTCCCTAAGAATAAGTTATAAATCTGTGAATAACAGTCCATTAAGTTAATATTTCATTTATATAGATGAGAAATGGAAACAAGGATAGAATTCTAAGAGTTGCTTAGTTTTTCATATATGCGTGTTAACGCATATACCCAGAGCTAGACCAGGGAAGGTAATGGAATTTTCTTATCTTTTCCAAACAGCTAAAAAGAGATGGAACTTAGAGCAGACCAAGAGATTTATCTTATTTTTTAAGATTTTATTTATTTGAGTGTGTGTGCATACACACACTCCAACTGAGCAGGGAGCCTAGGGGGTGGGGGTGAGTCCCAGACCCCAGGATAATGACCTGAGCCCACGGCAGACGCTCAACTGACCGAGCCCCCCAGGCGCCCCAGAGAGTCTCAATCTTACTGATCACACACTTATCCAGGGGGAAACCAGCCTATTCCTCCAACATACAAATATTTATACATTACTTACACGTAACATGTAATAAAAACCACAAAATACAAAGTGAGAAAGGATGAACTAGGGATAAAATAGGTCATATTCTTAAATATTTTAAAGTTTATCAGTGGCAAAATAAAATTTGTTGAGGGCATATGGGTGTGAGAGTGTGAATGACAGAAATGTGATCTAGCGTAACTTGACTTGATTGCCCTTGGGACCACCATTGTTCTAAATTTCACGATGTGGCCAAAAAGCAAACACTGGGCCTAGGAGGGCTGTTTGACAATTTCTTATTGTCTACTGACAGTCTGGTTCCCCCTGGACCCACAACAGAAGTAGCTCCTACCCCAGGACTTGTCCTTCATTAGGGTGACAATCCCAGGAGGCCCCATGAGGGTGAAGTGAGACAGAAGGACAGAAGACAGTATGCAGTGTGTTAATAAATGGATTGCTGCTGTTCAGCAATGGGAACCAATCCTCCTGGGGCCACTCTTGAGAGAACCTCAGTGTCCTCTGAGCTGAGGGGTAAGGAAGCTGGAGTGTTTACACACCAAATCCTGCCCTTCACTGGTTAAGGACTGCCTGGCCTGGCCCACATGCAGCCCAGCAGACTCTGGCAGCCAGCCAGCAGACACCTCCAGAAGCCAGTGGGTTTTGGAAACTGCAGGTAAGCTAGAGGCGGCACAGGGTCGGTGAGCAGGGCACAGATAGCATATGCCACCTCTGCTGTCCCTGCATTATGAAGAATATTAACTTCAATCTTAATTTCTTTGCAGGATCCTTTCTAAGCCCTTAAAAAGAATCTTTGTTAGGTAGGTTAATACAGTTAGTTTTAACTAAATTGGTAATATATAAATGAACATATGAACACAAAAACATCACAGTCAATTCTTTCCACTTTCCCCACAGGATACTTCAGATATGAATGTGACAGATGACCACCCGACACACAGATCAACGAGTGCACCAGAGTCAACTGAATATCAAATACTGATGCAATTTCATCTTTTCTTAGATTAAAATGTATAAATAGAAGTTCTGAGATTTTCTTCCTCTCCACAATACATTACCTTGCGTACCTCTCGAGGTGCATGCTCCCCATTTGGGCCACCCCTTGGCCAAAGTACACAGAGCCTTGCCCAGCTCTCAGCTGGAAATAATTTGATTCATTTCATGGTATGGCTGGACTATTCTAAATGGCTAAGAACATACTAGTAACTTACAGTTCTAATACAGTTTTAGCATGTGTCTATCACTTAATGAGGAGACGAAAATTTCAAAATAATCTTCACAGAATTCCTTGAACGGGTATATTACTTCCCTGTGTTAAAAAAATGATACAAAGACCCAACCAGAATGCAACTCCATCTTGGACTCATTCTAACTCAGATCAGAATGCTCTGACTTTCCAGTCTTTCGTGTGAAAGGCAGATGGGCAGGCTCCTTGTTTTCATCCCCTCTGCAGAAACAACAGCTCTACAGAACACTTTCCAAAGTCACAGCTTCCTAAAGGAGTTACATATGAGAAAACGGAAATTCATTTAAACTTTCCTAAACAATTAAGTACTTAACCAAATTCCAGAAATGTGACACAAAGTTATAAAAAAGTTCGTTTTATTTAGGCTGCAATGTGTAGATTATTTAGTTTTAAAACAAGCTTAATATACAGTTTAATTATTACCACCAGTTTGATTTATCTTCAACAACCTAAGAAGAGAATAAAGTTCTACTGTACTAGTTTAAGAAATCTGTTCTGGAAAAAAAAAAAAATCCATTCTGTGTAGAAACATTTATATTAATTCTCCCAGAGTTTAAAGCTTTATAACCAAATCATTTTAGCCCATTAAGGACTTTTAAAATTTTGCATAATATCCTGAAAAACACTATTTTATGATACTATCAACAAAACTCAATGCCACTTTCTCCAATAATAAAAATATGCTTTTGTAAACTGTTACTTTTTAAATGACGTGAAACCAAAGAAAACTGGTTGCTGGTTTTAAAATCCTCTTGTTTGGAGAAAAATATTCTATGCCTTACTACTTGTTGCCATGCCTTACAGAGATAGGGTCTATAGTCCGCATCTGCCTCACTCGGATGGTTCAAGGCAGAAGAAGGCCCTTCTGTCCAGTTTGAGGTTTTCTGCATTATACTTTGTGTTGTTGCAAAAAGAACCAAGCGATACTCATTTACGAGCTTCTCTAAGAACTGAGCACATTTCTTCAGGGTATACTCCTGTAGGTTAACACTTTCTCCTCCATTGACGCGGTCTATCCAGTAAAAAGCGGACAGGCTATCCAAGATCAGAAGGCAGAGGGAAGGGCGGCTACAGACCATGCTTTCTAGTGAGTACAGCGTGAGGAGCAGCTGGGTGTTACTACTGCAGTTCACCAAAAGCAACCTTCCGAGGCAGCATTTTACCATTTCTTCAGAACTCTGGGATAGTCTATGTTCGAGAATTGTAACCAGCCGAAGCATATCAAAGTGATAATCTGTGTCAATAAATAAGACTTCTACTTCCAGTCCCCCTTCCGATTTTGGGAGTATACATCGTGCTGTTAAATGATAAAGCATTTCTGTTTTTCCTGTTCCCTCTGGACCATGAAATTCAAGAATATCACCTGCGTAAAATGTAAAAATGTCAGTCAAAATGGAGCAGCACAGTAACGGCAGGCTACAAAACAAGAAGTCTGCAACAATGTGTAAAAACACATTTACCGGAATGTCAAAGAAAAATCTAAATCCATTTGCCAAAATGGATCCATATAAGCAAATACAAATAAATAAGGAAATTAAACCATTAAGTTTCACCTCTGAGGAAGGAGCTGGCTATTAATTAGCATCAAGAAAATGTGAAAAACAGAATGGCAAGGTTGAAAGGCACCCAAGGAAGTCTCCTGGGGAGGGGTCCACATGCACTCACACTGAAACTGGCGATAAGCTAAGAATAAAGTGCCAGACCTCTGGTCTTCCAAAAATGTATTGATTACTATGGTACACAGCATTTCTGGTACCTGATTACCCACTATACATTCTCTCCTTTTCCTTAAGTATAAAACCTCAATTTGGGGGTGGGGGAAAGCAGTGCATCCAGCTGAAAAACTATTTTTCTCCGTATCCCTTGCAGAGAGGGGTCAGCAGGTATCATGGTTGTAGCCAATGAGACACGAGTAGATTTCTGTTGGGGGTTGCTAAGTTTTGCTTTCCTGGTACAGGGGCCACTTCTGCTCTGCCACGCCCCACTCTGGAGTGAGTATAAGAGGGACACCCTAAGTAGGGTGGGCCCTAAGAATGTGGAGCAGGAAGACAAGAGGTGCCCAGGACTTTGATGACACTATGGGAACCCCACACAGTTATGCGGGGCCTGCCTCTATACACTTGTGAGGTGAGGAAAATAAGTCTCTATCAGGAAAGCCCCTAGGCTGGACTTCCGCGACATGCAGTTGAAACAATCCCTAATTAGGGTTTCTCATGTTACTGGCATTACAGGCAGAACAATGCTTGGTTGTGCAGTTTCGTACGTACAGAGCCTCAGGAGTCCACAGCTCTCAGGCCTAAATGCCAACAGCATCCCTCAACTGAAAACACCCCTCCACATTTCCAATATGCTATCACTTATTCTTTGCTATAAAAATTTCTTGAAATTGTGCCCAGCTGGAATGACATCTGCATTGTAAGTTATTTTCCTAGCATTATAAGTGTAAGTAAACCACTCTGAACTTCAAAGACTCCAAATCTTTTTCTATAGATGACTCTCTTCCAGTGAGGACAACGCAAATTAAACACCTGGGTAAACTGTTCCGACTCCGGAGTTCTTCAAAATCCACTCTGGACAGTGGCTTTCCAATTCTTGCTAGTTTGTTTCCATTTAATTTATGGCTGAACCACATAATTGGAAACACTGTTAAAATGCAGATTCTTAGGCCCCAAGCAAATTACAGTCTGAGAATCCAGTTACTTTATTTCCTGTTATTACTAACAAACCATTGTAAACTGGAACGCTCACAAAGAATGTGTAAAAAATCTAGCATGTTACCACTATACCATATTTAAAGTACTGTAAAACTTCAAACAGTTTCTACCATAATCTTACATGCAATTTGCAATTCAAAATTTAAATAAAAATGATCACCCCACACCCCTCCCCCAAAAGATTTGAGACTCAAGAAGTAAATCTATTTTCACAATAACAATTGTTCACTGATGCTCTTGCTGAAAGTTAACATAGTAACTAAAAAACTATTCAAGCCAGATGTTATTCTCTCCCACTACATGACTAAGGAGCTAAACTGAAATCAACCCTTTACCTACAAATAAGTCTTTTACTTCCCTATATTAGAGAAGGAGAATAAACTACATGCATTAGATGAAACATTAACATAGAACAGATATTGATGGTAGTGAAGGAAAGCTGAAAACACAGTTTAGCAAGACTAATCTGAAAAGTTTGCAGGACAGTGAACCACGCAGAAACACAGTATCAACAGACTGCACCAGACCTTCCCTTTTTTCCCCCAGAAAGAGGCCTATCAATAGCAACTAAGTTTTCTATTACACTTTACAAATGAAAAGGGACAACTTGATGATATCTCATTTGATCCTAATAACAACACTCTGAGGTAAGAAAGCAAACTTTATCATGTTCCATCATCACAGTTATCATGCTTTATATTTTTTTTAAGATTTTATTTATTATTTGACAGAGAGAGAGAGAGAGAACACAAGCAGGGGTAGCAGCAGAGAAAGAGGGAGAAGCAGGCTCACCAAGCAGGGAGCCCGATACGGGGCTCAATCCCAGGACCCTGGGATCATGACCTGAGCCGAAGGCAGACGCTTAACAACTGAGCCACCCAGGCGCCCTCATGCTATATAATTTTTTAAAGATTTTTTATTTTTAATTAATCTCTACACCCAACATGGGGCTCAAACTTACAACCTTAAGATCAAGAGCCACACACTCCACTGACCGAGCCAGCCGGGCGCCCCTCATGCTATATGATTTCTGACTATTTCATTATATTTCCTGTATGCTACTTTCAGGTTGGCACTTTACTATTCTATCTCCAGCACAAAACACAGTATCTTTCGAATGCACTTCATCAGATTACTTTGAGAACTTCTTGAGAGACATCTAAAAAATGAAAATTAAGTCCTATCTGGTGAGGGGTAAAGGCCCCAAAGTGAACTCTGAACATCGCATTTCAAAGATTCTATTTATTTATTTATTTATTTGAGAGAGAGAGAGAGAGAGAGAGAGAGAGAGAATGAGAGAGAGAGCACATGAGAAGGGGGAGGGTCAGAGGGAGAAGCAGGCTCCCTGCCGAGCAGAGAGCCAATGCGGGACTTGATTCCGGGACTCCAGGATCATGACCTGAGCCGAAGGCAGTCGCTTAACCAACTGAGCCACCCAGGCACCCGTGAACATATCATTTTGAAAGGAAGCAAGTCAGATAGGGGAATCACAGGTAGGGGGTGTGGCACTGGTCACAGAGTCCAGCAGGTGCAAAGGCCCAGGACCAAGGCTGGAAATAAGAGACTGACACAGGAGATAAGCCAGAACAGGAACAAAGTGCCCAGTGTGAGTCCAGTGCCCTGCCCACGGCCCCTGGCCCAAGGGGTGCTGACACTTCGGTTCTGTCAGCTCTTCAGTCCCTTCACATATTCAGAAGGTGAGGGTAAAGCTAAGGTAGTGATGTAAAGGTTCTATTCAGAGACAGGGTTGGAAGTACCCATGCAAATCATATACTTAAGGAAAGCAGGGATTTTTAATTCACATTATCACATAAATATCCTAACAAGAATTTAGCTTTCAAAATACTATGTTAGCTAGATGTCACAAAATAAAAATGTCTTATAACACTAGGATTTAAGATTCAAGACAGTTAATAAAAGTGCAGACATAATGATCTGAGAGTAAGCTACACAGAAACAGAGAACAGAAAGCTCAATTTGGTGAGTGAGAGTGAACAAAAAATTAAGAATAGAGGCCAAAAACTCACCTCTTGGAATGCATCCATGTTAGAGGAGTCGGCATGAAGACATATAAAAACAGAAATTTAATATAAAAATTAGGAGGAAAATGGCACAGAACATGAAAGGTTTCAAGAAAATGAAACAGTACTAAAAAACATTAAATGCAGCACAAAATTTCTAAAAGTAAAAAAATGGCCGGGGAGAGTTTGGGAACAGATCACTGAATTGGTCCTGGATAGTACCTTACAGCAGTAAATGTGTAGTTTGCAAAACCACCTTTTTCTTTTTTTTTAAAGATTTTATTTATTTCTTTGACAGAGAGAGACACAGCGAGAGAGGGAACACAAGCAGGGGGAGTGGGGGAGGGAGAAGCAGGCTTCCCGCCGAGCAGGGAGCCCGATGCGGGGCTGGATCCCAGGACCCCGGGACCATGACCTGAGCCAAAGGCAGATGCTTAATGACTGAGCCACCCAGGCACCCCCAGCAAAAACCACATTTAATATAAATATTATTTTTATGAACCAAACTTCAAAATCAGATACTCGGAAAAGAGATGGAAGGGCTCTCCAGGGAGCCCTCAGCATTCTTCCAAGAATCAGGCTGCAGGGAAGGCAGGGGGCACACAAGGAATTAGGGGAAAAATATGATGGTCTACATTCATTTAAAAAGTAAAAATATTCAACAGCAGTTTTGTGAGGCTGGAGTCAAATGAAGACAACCAAAGGTAGGAGAAAGGCAACATATTCTGAAGCAAAAGGGAAGAGACTCCACAGGGAGACAGAAATACATGACACTGGCCAGAGTTAAGTGTGAGCTATCTCTGGATATTTCTGGAATCCTCAGAATAGGAAAAAAAAATGAAAACCTAGCCAAATATTTTCTTGGAGAGAAGGTGGTGCTCATAAACATCTTTCAGCATAACTCAAAAAAGTCTCGAGCACTTGCTTACATGGTTTAACAAGGTTTGCTAAATCCATACATTACTAAGAAATAGATTACGTAGTATATGGATTCCTCACATTCTTGGTTTGGCATGATTGAGATGAGGCAAAGCTTAAGGTGAAATCCCTGGTTAGGAGATGATTAAGGGGTATATAAAAATACTCTTTTCCTTTTACAGATTAATAGCAAAGCAATAAAAAGGTCACTTGTAACAACTGGGGAAATAAAATATGCAAACTTGCAAATTACACATAAATATTATCATTAAGGTCCCAGATTCTCTACAAATATGTTTAATGATCAACTGAAGTCAGTTTTGCTGATTTTATAAACATTTACTGTTTAATCATCACGTCAAAAATCATATTCAAACATGATGTTCTACAGAGGGGCACAGTCCTTTTAGGGGTATTTGAAGTCACTATCTTAAATGTTTCTGAGAGCTGTTACAAAAGAAATCATACCCTTGTCCACTCAAAGTATTGGGTATGAAAACTTGCAGTAAAAAAAACAACCCCCACCACCACCACTAAACACACATACACACGCACATACCCCAAAAACACCTCTACAGTTTGGCACTTGACAAATTAAACTAAATCAGAAAATCTGGATGGTTTGGCCTTGATAGTTGCTCTCACAAATAGAATGCTGTAAGGGATCTGGGTAACAGATTGTCAGAGTGAGTTTATGAATCTGAAGATCC